TGTATGTGGAGAAATTGTAATATTTTCAGCTAGTCTCCTCTAACCAATAGCCAGCACGTCACTGATATATATATATATATATATATATATATATATATTTTGTAACAGTAGGTGAACAGATGAAATTCTTTATTTAATTGTCAATACTTTTTGCCCAAATTATTTAAAAGAACACGCGCATGAGAAGATCAGATTTGACTGCTACACTGCGTCTCATATATACTTTTGCTTATTAGACCATCGCAAATGCACGGATAAACATTTCCGATGTAGAAACGGATTTTGTATTCAGAAGGATTACTTATGTGATGGACTAGCTGACTGTCAAGATTCTTCAGATGAAACTCCTAATTGTGGTAAGTGTGGAAACGCCAAAAATCACTGCAGCAAAGAGCCTGGGAACGAGGTTGGCGTATACATGCATGAACGAGTCTTTGAAGAGGGTAAAATAATACACCTTATGCATAATGACGTGATGGGTGGGTTGGTAATGCGGCATTGTCCTTAGTCATGGCGGGCAAAGAATCCAACATGGATGCAATCGTATATAAAGGGGAGTGTGCTGCTGTTCTTTGTCGTTTTTTAGAGGCGGGGGATCTTTGATTGTTGATTATTGACTCGTACTAGTCGATAAAAGCGAACTGTTGCCGTTACTTTCAGGACTGCCAAACTTCTGAAGACTCGTGCAAGAATTATGAAAATGTCGCGGGTCTTCATTGGCTTGAGCAGCCTCTAAAAGACGACAAAAGAAAGCAGGGTATTTGCCTATGACAATGGCCATGGTGGATTGTTAATTTTACGGCCATGACTATAGCTACTAAGACCAGAATTCCGCGTGAGCATCACGCCTTGTTACGTCATTTTGCATAATGTCTATTCGCGCAAAATTAAACATACACGTCTAGCATTACCCCAAAATACATCAAGGAACTTGTGGATCTTTCTAAACTGGGTTGCACCCGAATCGCGGAGTCGTATATTCAATCGATTCCTGCCAATTATGAGCAAGCGTTTGTACTGAAGCGGCTGGCCATAAATATTCCAACTCATTTGCTTAAGCACCGCCAAGGTATCCTAATTTGCATATAACCTCATATACCCTGATTGAGGCTGAGTGAATTTGATCCAGAAAAAACACAAACCAGCCTCACATATTATTAAAAACCAATTTAAAATTGACAAGAGATGAAAGTGTGCTTCCAAATATCTAATGCAATTCTATGAGTATAGCTCGAGCTACTTATAGAATTGCATTAGATATTTAGAATAGAATTCCATTTTTTCCCCCAGTACTTACCACCAGGTATGTATTTACCTTTAGGTCCCAGTCCCTTCATCTTTTTTGAAAACGTTATTTTAACCTGTAAAAGAAAGCAACAATTACCGGGTATGGCGGGAGGGATTGCCTTTTTTTAAATATATAACCGGAATGATCTTCCCGGTTATAGCTAGCACAACTACAAAACTCTTGATCAACGATCGGACTTATATTGCATGAAGACTTCCATTATTTTAATATTATACGTAGTATAATGCTTGCTTTTTTCTATTGAACATAGGCATAATTATTCGTTGCAAGCAAAATCAATTTCGGTGTGATTCAAACTGCATTCCACTTGATTGGCTATGTGATGACCACGCTGACTGTTCCGATGGAAAGGACGAAATGAATTGTAGTACGTAAAATGCGAATATTTTTAGTGTTATAGGTGACTAACGATAGCGACCGGGCTGGGCGTATTTCTTGTCTTCCATGGCCGGATTTTGACGCGAGGTGTGGGGAGATGTTAACCTCCTCTGAGATCGTTTTGGACTTCCTCTGAGATCGTTTTGCACATCCCCGGAGATTTTACGCCCCTCCCTTCCGAACTCAAATGATGGATCAAGTTTACAATTTCATTCAAAACTTAACAGTTAATTTTAATGTCTGTTACTAAAATTTTACTTTTGTAATGCACTTTGTAACAACGTACGTTTTTCTATGAATTTGAAAATTTTCATCTCTGTATTAAACATTCATCTCTGTATTAGACTAACATCCCATCCTGGACAGGCGTGGCCCGGATCACTGCACGGCCAGCTCTCCTAAAATATTTTCTACCTCCCCTAGTTTTTCTACGAAATTAATCCAGCCTTGGTATTTTCCCACTATATTGGTCGAGATGCTTTGACTTGAACTAAAATGATTTTTTTCTGTGTCGGAATGATCAACATGTATTCTTTTAAAATTCTTCGCTGTTTATATAATATTCCTATCCTCAAGCAAAATACGTGTTATAGGTGACTAACGATAGCGACCGGGCTGGGCGTATTTCTTGTCTTCCATGGCCGGATTTTGACGCGAGGTGTGGGGAGATGTTAACCTCCTCTGAGATCGTTTTGGACTTCCTCTGAGATCGTTTTGCACATCCCCGGAGATTTTACGCCCCTCCCTTCCGAACTCAAATGATGGATCAAGTTTACAATTTCATTCAAAACTTAACAGTTAATTTTAATGTCTGTTACTAAAATTTTACTTTTGTAATGCACTTTGTAACAACGTACGTTTTTCTATGAATTTGAAAATTTTCATCTCTGTATTAAACATTCATCTCTGTATTAGACTAACATCCCATCCTGGACAGGCGTGGCCCGGATCACTGCACGGCCAGCTCTCCTAAAATATTTTCTACCTCCCCTAGTTTTTCTACGAAATTAATCCAGCCTTGGTATTTTCCCACTATATTGGTCGAGATGCTTTGACTTGAACTAAAATGATTTTTTTCTGTGTCGGAATGATCAACATGTATTCTTTTAAAATTCTTCGCTGTTTATATAATATTCCTATCCTCAAGCAAAATACGGGTGGAAAATGAGCAAACTTCAAAGTGTCTAGGGTGAGCTACGATGTCATGTAATTGAGACGATTTGACCGTGCACATATGCTTCAACGTGCACATATGTACATGTTTGGGTAAATATGAACAAAAAGGTAAATGATCGAGGGCTTTTGCAAGTTTTCAGAGCTATCGTGGATGAAATTGTTTAACTGCGCTCCAACTTTTTTATTTATCAGTATACTGTGCAAGATATTAACAGGATCGCCTTATTTAATTTTCCTGGCGGAGGGAGATCACTATAAGTCTCCCATTTCACTTATAGTGCACATGCGAGATTAATAGTTAACTAGAAATACATGCATCCAGCAACCATTGCCTATATTTTCCAAACATTGATTTAACATGAACTATTAGTAATTGACCAACACTGAACGCAGGCTCGCGTTTACGCCAGTGTTGCCATGGCAACACGATAATTTTTTTTAATTTTTTTTTTTGGACAACAAGCAAAAAATTAGTTGAAATGAAATATTATTGCTTTTAACTGTATAACAATGAATTTCTGAAATACGTATACGCACTGTATGTATGTTGTTGCATTTTGTGAGCTTTGATTTAATTTAATGTAAAATTTGTTAACCTGAAGAATCTCTTCGTAAAATGTTTTGACTAATGTTCATTTTAATAACTAAACTGCTTTTTCCGATAAACTGTTTCACTAAAACAAAATAGGTTCTAATTGTTGTTGAGTAATTTCAGTTCGGTTTTCAAATTAATTTGCTCTCCTAATACATTTTACATTTTTTCTTAAATTATACAGGGTAGTCATTTAGCAAACTTACAGTTATTGAAAACGAAAGCAGTGCATGTTTTACGCAATAAATTAAAGCAACAAAATTAATAAACATGAAACATTCAAACTTTCCCTACATTTCACGATTTCACATAGTAAATCAATTCTTCTTATTTCTTCAAACAAAAATTGCTTCGATGCTCATTGTGTGAAACTTGATTTTCCTAATATATATGTTTTTGAAAATTGAAATCTTGCTTATCCCACTCCTGACAAACAGCCATATTTTTAGATCAGTTATAGGTCCATCCATGAACCATAATCACGCGCCCGCGATCATTAATGAATCCGCGCCGTTGGCTTGGGGACAATAAACAAGTATACTATATCTGCAAGCTCGCCTGCATGCTTACAATCCTTAATAGACCTATTGCGAAACCCGGACTTTAATGCACTTCCACTTTGAACACCTGTTGTTTCGCAAGATTTCCTATGTAGATTTCACAAAAACGTGAGTTATTGCGACTATCAAGTTTCAAATAAAACAAGTTGTAATCTCGGAATCAAAACGTTCTTTCTAAACCGGAAGTGCGGTAAAACCTGAGTTTTGGGGTCTCCCGATATGTCTAATCCCAATATTCAGATAATGGATTCATTTAATTCATTTACAATACTTTTTATGAATTAGTTCATTTACAAACCTCCTAATTTGCATCTAGCACGCGGCGTGTGTCTTCCTGATCAATGGAAATGTGGCAGCGGTGAATGTATTCCAGAAAGACATAAATGTGATGAAGATCCTGACTGTCGAGATATGTCCGATGAGATCGGATGTTGTGAGTAAATGAAATCCATTTCTTCCATTTCTTGTATACAACTAACAAAGTTGTCCTCCAAAAATTAAAACTCACCGCGAAACTTTGACCTATTAACTCCCTTCTTTGTATATATGATCCACACACAGATACAGGTATTGAACAGCACACTCCCTATCAGGGTTTTTCAGTGACTGGTTACATTGGGTTTTTCAATGACTGTGAGCTTACAAATGGCGCTTTAAGCAGCCGATATTAGTCCATACCTCATTAATGATCTGCCCCCTGTATATCATAATACAATCTGTTCATATTAAAGAGACAGTTAGCCGTCCACTAGGGCTTATGGTCATGCAGAGTTAGGGTTAGGGTTAAGGTTTGGATTAAGGCTAGAGCTAAGGTTAGTGTAAACTGTAAAGGTTAGGATTTAGGGTCAGCGTTAAAGTCCAAGTTAAGGTTAGGTTAACATAAAAAAAGTTTAAAAACCCAATGAATTCTGTTCGTTCTTGAGTTTATGGAGTTTCAGAACGATATGAATTACATAACACGCATGTCAGTCGTGCTTTAAGCGCTTAGGGTGAGCGGTTTTGCTTTTCGAGTTTTGACTTTCGGAGGACCTTATAATGGAATTAACTGTAATGGTGAGGACATACAATGTGCCTTGTTGCGTATGGTAAATCAACATTTAATTTCATGCACTTCTTTTTTCTATTGGCTATGATCTGCGCCGATCCACTATTTTGGTACAAAACATTTCTTCTGCTAAGATATTTGTAAACATTTGTTTCCTAATTAGCGAATACAAGTGTGATTTGTGACGTGAAAACTCAGTTCCAGTGCACGTCAGGGCAATGTATCAAATTAGAATTGGCGTGTGATGATAACCTAGACTGCTTTGATGGTACAGATGAAAACAACTGTAGTAAGTTAATTATATAGTTCACTTCAATACATATACATGCATTACATACATTATTATTCAGCCACTCCCCATCGGGGATTTTCGGCGATCGATTATTTCAAGTATTACACTTCCCTATATTACCTACTTAATTAGCTCAGACTATTTATCTTTGCAACAGTTGTGATATTATTCTCCTAAGTATGCTTATCCTAATCCACCCTGTCAACTCTCCAATGCACAACTTTTGGTAGAGCGATTACACATTTGACTCTTTTCGAACTCATGCACGATTCCAGAGGTAAAAGGTACTTGCTCCGATGACGGCGCCTGCGAAGTTCGTCGCGCTTATACCAAATTTTTACATGTAATATCTTTTCTAAGTATATATTTTCAAAATCTTTACAGCCCACAGTGAATCTGGATGCACTTCTGATGGTCGTGCTCAAAATAATTGCACTACTGCAGGTTTGTTTTGTACTTTGCGTTCAAAATACAGATGAAGTTTTATTACATGGGAAGCATTTGTTCTGTGAATCGCAGAATTTAATTAGCCACTGCCGTACAGGGTTTAATTTCGCGTATTGCAGGGTCTTCCTGCGGGTAATTCGGAATTTTTAATACCTTGCGTAAGCCTCAAATAATTATTGTATTATTATATTACAAGAGGTATTTGAAGACAATATATAAAATAAACATGCAGGGTCCCCCCCCCCCCCCGTCGATGTTTAATATCTTCCTCTACAGCTTAAACAGTTGAGGTTAGAATGTTTTAAAATAAATATTACCTATTTTCACTAGTTCAGAGTAATTCCACTACCTGTCTACAAACACAGTTTCATTGCTGGAATGGCCAATGTATTGAAGCAGATAAAATTTGTGATGGAAAGATAGATTGTCAGGACGGGACCGATGAATTTAAATGTCGTGAGTAATAGTTTCCAAGGAAGAGCTAAATGATGAATTGGAAAGTGGGATTGCAGGGCATAGTTGATCATCTTCCCCCTATCCTCTGTAGATTTCCAAGCACTCATAGGGAGATTTAACACCGATGAATTCCTTTTGATCATTTAGCCCTTCCTCTTACAATTTAATTGATTTTTTTAAACATGGAGAAATTTTCCTATGCATGGAGGAAGAAGGGGACAAGTGTTGCTGGATAGAAATGTTTAATATCCTAACTGTAGCTAATAATCCTTAATCAAAGATTAGGTCCTATACACGGCAAAAAAACACTGAGTATTTTGTCTCAGTGTTTCTATTTTGACTGAGTATATTTTGACTCAGTATTTTATAACTTGAGGTTAATAATGCACCCACAATGACTCAAATTTTTAAGTAAAATTACTCAAAATTTGCAGTATGAGCAAATTTACTCAATTTTACTCATTAATTAATTAATTAATTTTATTAGTAAATATTTATACTTTACTAAAAAATGAATAAATTTGCTCATAAATTTGAGAAATTTTACTCAATACTATGAGTTCTATGAGTATATTGTTTTACACAGTTTTTAGTCAAAACGTTTCGCAGTGTGAATTTGAGAAGGCTTTTGGCCTCCTGAAATTACGTTGTTTACCAAACTTATAAGCATAATGACCTTCTTCTACCATGTTTTGATCCAAAACTTGTTATCAAGCTTAACCATTTCATTTTGTTTTTATTTTTCAGTTGCACGAGAAAATCAGACCTCATGCAGCACGAACCAAGGAGGCTGTCACCAGTTATGTCATGATCATGATAGTTCGTTTACATGCTCTTGTTATGAAGGATTTGACGTGGATCGAGGAGACTCAACAAATTGTGTAGGCGAGTAGTACACATTTTTTAAAAATTATTTTGTCAATAAACTCTTCTGGAAAGTATACATCACTTTGGCTATAGAGTCTCCAATCTCGTACCCAGGGACTTTCGTTTTGGGGAGCAAAGACCGTGGTAAACGCTGGTCACGTGATCTGCTAAAATCTAGCAGATTTTTAATTAGCAATCCAAGATCAGGGGCCGGTTGTATAAAAAAGTGATTAAAGTTAACTATAGTTAGTGCAAACGTCATCCAATAAGAAGCGCGTATTTGAGAGTTAATTACTATTTAACTACAAAAATAGTGATTAAAAAAGTGATTAAGAGTTTTATACAACCGGCCCCAGGTCAATAAAGATTTGATATTTGGATTATTTTGATAGTTTAATTAATAATTTGCATTTTGTATGATTGTCGTAAAGAAAACCAAGATAGTTAATTAGAAATCTGCTAGATTTTAGCAGATCACGTGACCAGCGTCTAACAGGGTCTTTGCTCCCCAAGAGGAAAGACCCTGGGTACGAGATTGTAGAGTCTCGTTTTTGTGATTGACACGTTGAGCTTTAACTGACAAACGAAATGCCTGATACACGAAAACGAGGCTCTATAGCCAAAGTGACGTACTTTAGGGAAAGGTTTTTTCCAATACATATCATATTACCAGTCTGTTATTGCTGTTGAGACATGCATCCATAATTTGGTCAGAAATATTGCGAGAAGAAGCAATACATTACACTTTTCTTTAAATGATAGCTGGACAAGTTGGAATGCCTCTATAAAGAGCAATAAAAAAAATCCCCGCAACAACTACTAAACAGTTGTTCTTTCGAAATTTATCTAGACATCGACGAATGTGAAATAGTGGGATTTTGTAGTCAGCGGTGCATCAATGGACACGGTAACTCAAAAATATGCAATCGTAATAATAGCATAGTGAGTAGAGCAAATAAAAATTAGAATTCATCTGCTTTACAACCGATGTGGTTTTTAAAAAGGAAGTTTCCATGAAGTCTATGTCATAGTAATAATATCATAATATCATTTTAGTCAATTTACTCGATTCTGATTGTTTAAAAACCGTACCGATTAAACATTAGTCGCACAGGTGTGCCGATCTAAGATTAATTGGCACAGGGACGAGCCCTCGTGGATCATGCATTCACGCGTGGATTAAAAACAAAATATCAACTTGAAAATAAACAGCTTGAAAATACTTGAAAATGTACATTTTCTGAGCTCTTATTTTACAATGAGCTCTTATTTACGCTTTTATAACGAAGAAAAATAAAGATTATTCACAGTTTTGCAGGTATGAATTGAAAATTAATGTCAGAAATCACTCTCAAAATTGACCACATACACAGGCGCGTATATCGCTTTGCAGGCTTGAATACATAAAAGACAATCATGTTTCTTATCATTGATTGCTCGTGTAAAATTGACTATAAAATTATATTAACAGGAAATTACACTTGTTCTCGAAGTATTAATGAAAAATCACACTTGTGCTTGGCGAAATATTTATAACATGTATTATAAATATTTCGCCTGACACGCGTGCGATTTTTTATTAATACTTCTCGAACCGTGTAATTTCCTATACAAATAATTCGGTTCCAAATGAAAAGATCGCCACCTCCAATTAATTGTATATCATTAACTGTTACAGGAAGTTACAATTGTTCATGCCACAAAGGATATATTCTTCAGTCCGATGGACGTAAATGCAAAGCTTTAGGTACTGTATATATTATTCTTATACGGGAAAAATCATAGCACGTCATACTGTATATCTGATAGATTAGTTTGGAGCAGCTCAACTTGTATGTTGCGTGTTGCGTGCTGCGTGTTGCGTGTTGTGTGTTGTGTGCTGTATGTTGTACAGTATGTTGTATGTTGTGTGCTGTATGTTTTATGTTGTATATGCAGGGCCGTGCAACGATTTTACGATTGTGGGGCTGATGTTGAGAAGACGTTTTGCGTTATTTCCAGCTATTTCCCGCAATAATTACTCGCTGGGGCACTGTGCCCAGGCGAGTATAGCTTTCGGCTCTGTTCTCCAATCGTCGATAGCCACAAAATATAATATTAATGAGCTACCTAATTTTCCCCCAATTATCCATAAGGCTCCTGCCAATTTTACCCAAACTATCCATAAATAGCCCTCCATTTTGAGGAAAAGTCGGGAAAATTGAACAATTTTACAAGGAATTTCGCATAGAAACAGCAACCTTCGCAAATCGCAAGTTTATAAAAGTTTATACGTTTGACTGCGCTGCTTTATATTTTGAGAAGAAAGCGACACCGTTCGATTCAGCGTAAGAAATTGTACTTACGGATGTCAAGTGTATTACTAAACACCCGTATTCTAGCGATTTATGACCTTTGAAAATGAAGCGAAACTGTATTGTTGAAAAATCACTCGCAGTACGTATTGTTGATCACAAATCACTCGCACTACGTTTGTCCACAGGTTTGTCCTTGTATTTGTAATGCCTAATGGCGCAATAAGGATAAGAATACCATCGTTCGATTCAGCGTAAGAAATTGTACTTACGGATGTCAAATGTGTTACTAAGCACCAGTTTTCTAGCAATTTATGGCCTTTGAATAATTTGAAAATCAAGCTAAATTGTACTTGTTGACAAATCGCTCGCAGTACGTTTCCCATTACAAATTTTGTAATGCCTAATGTCCCAATAAGGATAAAAATACCACCGTTCGATTCAGCGTTAGAAATTGTACTACTGTACACCTTCTGCCCCGCATTAAACACAAACAAACATTCAATAACATTTTTCGATACACCAATAAAACTTTGGTATATTAATTTAAACGAGCAGAAAATCATTAACATTTATTAATTTTCAATTACATGAATTGTTCACTTAAGAATAAAGGTCAATTTCAATAGCATTTACACAAGTTCAATAACCATAACTAAACAGTCAATACGAACAAAAGGATATTCATTTACACGTTTAATACACACAACGAGAAATACATTTCACAACAACATATTTACTCATTAGCAGAGAAATATGTATGGGGTATGTTAACCTTCGATGAAATTGCCGTTAAGACGTCGAGGTAAGTAAGTTTACATGTGCCTGAACCACGCATTGCATTTTCTGATTGTTATTGTGTCCATGTGCCGTTCAGCAGCAGCTAACAAAACTCTTTTCCTGTATTCCCCTAACGGAATACGTTCTTGACGCGCCATGACTCTGTTATTCACCTCCAATTGGATTTCAGGTCGTGAAATATCGTTTCTGATTGCGGCTTTCAACGCACTTATGGCATTCTCGACGATGTTGAGAAAAGGGGAATATGGTGGTAGCATCCGTAGCGAGATTTCTTCAGCATACTTACAGCTCCCCGATGAGCTGGTGCACCGTCATAAATAAAAACCGTCTCGTTACCCGCCACATTTTGAGCACATTCATCTAGAAATACCTGAAACCGATCTCTGTTTGTGCCTCCTATGTGCATTGAGTGATGCACAAGGCCAAATGTGGAAGAAACTGCAAGAATAATGCTGATGTTGCGTCCTTTTTGTCCTGACACTTGGCGATATGCTCTATCTCCTCGAAGGGCTCTGCCTTGACTCCTCGCCGTCCAGACATTAAAACCGCATTCGTCAATAAACACGATTTGCCTCTGGATCGCTTCTCCCAAAAACCACGCTGCATAATCGCGTCTGCTTTGGATAACGTCAGGTCTGTTTCTTTCTGCAGGGCATCGCCGAACAAGTTTGAATGTGTATAGCATACCATTCAATACCTTTCCAACTGTCCGTGAATGTATTCGGGGCTTATCAGGCAATCTTTCCTGAAGCAATCGGTTTATGCCATCAAGAGTGAGAACAGGGTTCTCGTTCAGAATTTCTTCAATGCATTGCTTCATTTCATTATCAACTTTCCTGTGGTTGGGGCCGCCTCGTGGTCTTTCAGCTATCTGTCCTTCTTGCAAATGTCGTCTGACTATCCCTCTCGCTGTCGAGCGGTTAACGCCGATGGTATCAGCAACAGAAAGATAATCTTGGGCTGGACCATTGAATGCTCTTATCAAGCACTCTCTATTTTCCAAACTCACACGTTGTCGTCTAGGTCTTGCTGCCATCATGTACAATATTGTATGTTAACTTTGGCGACGTACTCAATTTTTATAGCGTTTTGAAATGTGTTACATCCTCAAGGGAATAGAGTTGAATACCGTACAGTCGAATTGTATGGTTACAGGTTAGTTAGCACATACAACGAGAGTGACATTTTTAAACGTGTAAATGAATATTCTTTTGTTCGTATTGACTGTTTAGTTATGCTTATTGAACTTATGTAAATGCTATTGAAATTGACCTTTATTCTTAAGTGAACAATTCATGTAATTGAAAATTAATAAATGTTAATGATTTTCTGCTCGTTTAAATGAATATACCAAAGTTTATTGGTGTATCGAAAAATGTTATTGAATGTTTGTTTGTGTTTAATGCGGGGCAGAAGTAATTACGAATGTCAAATGTATTACTAAACAACAGTGTTCTAGCGATTTATCATTTATGGCCTTTGTCTTTGAAAGCCAAGCGAAATTTTATTGTTGCCAATCGCTCAAAATTATTAAACTAACAAGACGCTCCACGGAGCATAAAGTCGCTGGGGCGATGGAAATATGCAATTTTAAGAACAGCGTGTTTGCTTTTCCGAAAACATTGAATCTTGAAGTTAGCGCTAATAGTTAAAACAAGTACAACCATGTAGCAATGTTGTTTTAATAGTCATATAGTATACAGTATCTATCGTATGTGTTAAAATTATAAGCGTTTATCCTGTTGTCATTACACAGATCGGCTGGTGTAATGTTACCAACCGGTGCGTCGAAGGCTGGAAGGCAAGAATATTCTTCCCTTCGAAATTAAACACATTATAACGTCTGTGTAATACAATGCCTCGTGAGAGGAGATTACCAAGCGACTGTATTATGTATAGCAATAACGCTTCAGTCATATCTACTAATCTACATACCAGTGCGCCTGTGCAGTATAGAGGCGGCGATCTGCATGGAATAATAATATATGTTATTGGGCCAAGAAAGATTCTATGTTACTTCCACACGATATCAGGAAATTGAGTTCCTCCTTTTTAGCTTTTGGTAATACATTTTGTCCCAATGAACCTTAATCCTTCAATGCTATTTAATAGGAATAGGACTCAAAAGAAGCAGGCGATGTCTGACTTTAAGTTTAATTTATGTAGATCCAAAAGACCAAAATATTATTACTGACTGGAAAGTTTGGAAATTGCGCTCCGGAGATTTCGAAAATTCAATAGTAAATATATAGAAAGCATCAACATTTGCGCGCCCAGTGTCTCCGCCGCGCGATACAAATATATGAAATTATGTACAAATTATCTACTTCCCTGCTCGATAACATAACAGTGAAAACGTCGTGATAACTTTTAGTGAATTCTTAATATATTTATTTCAAAAACCCCAAATGAAAAGACACGACTGGACCTAATAGTCGATAGCGAACTTTTGCACGCTATTCCATGGTCGCCATTTTGATTTTTATTTCGTAAGTATTACGTAATTAAAATGACGTAATTTGTCATTTTGTGGCATACCAAAGGGCAAACCTAGAGTCGGTGGGCACCACAGGTGGCCCCACCGACTAATGAAGCAAGAAATACAGGAAGTTCCAAGCCAAATTAAAAAACCTGTGCTTTCATTATTATCACATGTACAATGTTCAATGTCCAATCTGCTTTCTGCATTATCACTTAATACTCCTTGATAATTTGCTTGTAAATTTACATGTACTTCATTTTCAAATATTTCCTTGGCAGTGTACTTGAAGACCAAATATTTATACCAGTGTTGTTATACAAAATAGTGCCCCAATAAGCAATTGCAGAAACTGTATTCGAATCCCAATAATTGCATGGCTTAATAGTGGAGTAACAAATAGAATATAATGTCCACAACATTGAGAAATGTCAGAACTACATGCACATGTATTTTTTTCCTGTGAGACATTACCACTACCAGGCATACCGTTTTCACTAAGGTTTTGGGCGTGGTGAAAAGAAGCTTGTTGTTCTTCAATATTTACTCCTCGTAGCTCAAACTGACTGTTTTCACCGTATAATGACTGTAAATGCAAAACAACATGGTCGATAGTTGCTGTCTCTAACAATACACAAGTCCCTTGTGGATGGCTTCTACCATATATATCCCTTGAATGAGAGTCAAATATTTTGTATTTCCATCATTTATGGAATATATGCAAACTGCATTGGAATCAATTGTCAATATAAATGCAGCAAAGTTTTCAGTCAGTAGCAACTCAAATGCTCGATGAAATGGTACACAGTACTGATACCCTTCAATATGATTTTCTCCAAGTAGTCTGCCACTATAGCTTTCACTGTACTGGAGAATATAATCTGTGCTGAATACTGTAAGTTGCGTAGGCAGTTCTGTAAACATTAGAAATGATTGGCTTGTCGAACGTGCCAAGTTTGAGTATAATTCATTGCCAACATTCATTAACCGAGCCAAATCTTGTGATGAGTAAATCCCTGTCTTTTATTGCATATGAGCGCACATAAACACATGGCCAAACATTGCTGTCCTGCTGTTTCGCCAAATATAAGTTCATTTCCCTGACTATATGGTGCACTTATTGTCATGCTAGGATCTATATAGTATACAGGTCCAGGATTGGTCTCGATGTCTGAACAAAGCGCAGACTGATGGACATTCATTATGTGATTTAAAGTTTTGTATACCTGTCGCATACAAAAGTCGCGATTGCCAAATGCGGTGTAACAAAGATCAGTGCCAGTGGCACCATTTTTGGGAATTGATGTTGACATATTAACACATTGGAAGGCTTGCATAGTAATGTTTTGCTTTTGAGCAGCCCTTGAGAATTGACTGTTTTCAGAATTCACACCTTCATCTGTACCTTGTGAAGTTATAAATACAATCTGGTGGATTGTCAGCTTATCACGTGTGTCACATTTTGTAGCATTAATAATGTAAACATATTTAAATAACATTTTGAATAAGATTTTGAGAAACGTTTGATGTCTTTGATAGCAACATGATAGTACCTTTCGGTAATTTTGTATTTGTGTGTCATTGGCCTGGTTCGAAGACGCTCAAAATATTTTAGTAGGGTAAGGTATATTTGCATTTTTTGTACCCGAAGGTATGTTTGTATTCATGAATCATAGACCCAGTTCGAAATCGCTCAGCATCTTTTAGTGTAGGTCTATCACGAATATGTGCACATTCATGCGAGATGAGCGTATCTGAAGATAAAATACATTCAGTACTTACCCTGTGAAACATCTATCAGGCTTCAATCTTGAATCCTTGAAAACTATACAAAAACATTCACGATAGTTTGTCCTTTCACTCCTTGAGCAGAGAATCTTGAGTCCTTGTCGCAAATGTTTCCACTTAAATATGCTCAATTTTCCTCAATTTTCCAACTAAATATAGTTCTATAATTCAATGTCGTTGTCTCACATGTTTCCACTTCAATATACACAAATTTCCTTAAAATCGTGACGTGTCATAATGGAAATTTGTGTACAATGGAGATTTGCGATCTGCGATTCGCGAAAAAAAATGCGTGCCGAAACCTAGAGTCGGTGGGCACCACAGGTGGCCCCACCGACTAAAAATCTTTATATAGTATGCGTAACAATGGTCTTTTGTTAAAGTGTTCTTTAGCTGGTATAAAGATGTATGCACGTGACTAATTTCTTACTCTAGATTGGATAATTGCTTCATGAATTATTAATTAGTTTTTGAACTTTATTCAAAGCATGATTACTCATATTTATACAGTGTGTATAGAAAAAGGCTAGTCTTTGAAATTCGAATTAGTCATAATTACAGTGATTTCATTGTTCTAAACTGCGTAGAGTTAATGATACGCGACGAAAACATGTCTTATTTACAAAAGAGATCAATTATAACTCATTTTAATGCTGCTTGTACTGTACAGGGTATTTCATTGTAAATTCAATACAATATGGCTAATTTGAATTTCGAAGACTAGCCATTTTTTGATACACCCTGTATGCCGCGCTTCTAGGCAAAGTCTTTGACCATATAGCGATATAGTTTGTGGTAATTGCTTTACAGTTTTCCCACGCAATCTCGTGTTTGGTGTAACATACATGTTCGGCTAAAGACGCAAAATTTGGGCAATGTTTATATGTGCGCGCATAAAACGAAAATTTATATTTATTTCTGAGTTCTTTTCACACTCTGAGCTCTTATGGAAGAAACAAAGGTGAAATAATTTTTTTCAATTTAAATAAATAATTGTAGTTTTGGTGCATGACCCAACTGATAAACATTTGATTTCAATTGGGTATCTTGGATAAATATAATAATAATTATTACTACTATTGTTATTATAAATATTTCGCCAAACAGGCGTGCGGTTTTTAATTGATACTTCTCGAACCGAGTAATTCCAAATATTATTTTTTGACGAAAATCTTCTTATATCTTCTTCATTATTCTCCTGGATTATTCTACTTTGAAGTTGTAAATTTTAAGCATTGGACATGAATAATGATTAGTCCCAATGCAAATAAATTTCGATTTGGACTGCAACTTTTGTGCAACAACTCAAGTTTACAAGCAGTACAAAGATTTTGTTAGTCTAATTAGGTTCGTTACGGCTGTTTCTTTCAAGTCATTGACTGTAGGAAAAATTTGTTATTTAATTTTTATTTTCGTCTCCTGTTTCCATTAATCAAATTATTCTATATTATACAGCGTAAAGCCAAAATTTCTATAATGCAGAATGAATCTGAAACTATACAACCAAATAACCTCTACATAAACTTACTAAAGCATGATTATAAGAACTGTTTTTAACAATTTCGTTTTATATATAGCCTACGAGCCAAAGACCATTTATATTTTCAAAACAACAACAACAACTTCGTATGACGGAAAATACGCGCCTCTGGTCCCGGATGTTTTTAGTTTCCAGTAAAACACCATTGTCCATAATAATATATATATTTGTAATATAGTTTAATAGTGTCAAGGTTTAATTTTTCTGTTTGCTGATTGGTTAAAACCGT